GAAGATGCTAAGCCTTACTCCCTGATGATATTTGACGATGTTGCTTGTGAAAAACAGGATCACATCAAGGCTTTTTCTGCATGGGTCGACACAAGGATATTGATAGCTTCTATCTCTGTCAAACTTATACGCGAATACCCAAGCATCTGATTAGAAATAATGCAAACTTTCTCGTGCTGTTCCGTCAAGATGAAATGAATCTGAAGCATATTTATGATGATCATGTCAATACAGACATGCCATACAACTCATTCAGAGATTTATGCTCGGCATGTTGGGATAAATATGGGTTTGTGGTAATAGATAAAGACAGTGAATTGAACAACGGTAGGTATCGAAAAGGATTCGACTGCTTCATTAGTATAAATTGAGGTACTTTAGAGTGTGATAGTCATACATGCTGTAGACTTTAACCTGTTAACATGAAACCTAAAAAAATTTCAAAGCAGAAGGATATTCTGCATCAGATATCTCAAGCCAGCGATGCCATTCGACGAAAGCACAGGATGTTGAAGTTGGGCATAGATACAGCTGAAAAAGCCATGGAGGAAATGTTCAAGCCTATTGTGACACCACTCCAGAGTATAGTTGAATCTTCAAAGCTGAAAAAAGAAGTTGAGAAGCCACAGGTTGAAAAAGAAGAGGTTCAAGAACAAGAGATTGAAAAATCTTTATACGTTGATCCAGTCGGGTACAACAGTTTAATATCAGATGATGAAAGTTCATTTGACAATACAGCACATGCAATAACCCAACCACCGCCATCAACAAGTACTGCAGCTCGTAAAAATTCTCTTCTCACTAATTATTTACAACGTTTAAGTAAAAAACACAAAGATAATGATATGAGATATGGTGTACGCAGAAAACATGGTGAAATGTATATGGGTGATTCACCTATTTCATTTGCAAATGATACAATAAGTGTCAAAGCTAAAAATTATCCAATAACTCCTGGGTTGTTGGAATTATTATTTAGAAAATCACCAGATGATGCACTCATCACCCCAGATGATAAGTACAAGTACTTGGATATAATTCAACATACCAATACTCATAGGAAAAGTTATGATCCAAATCGTACCATTTATGAAGATATAACAATCAAGTTCAATAAATACGTTGCTGATTTTCTCACTAAGTTCGGTAAAGGGTTAGGGGCTGTTCATAAATTACGTAAGCGCTCATTAGGGGGGGGGGGTCAAGCTGAATCTCTATGTATGCTTACTTAGGGGGGATGGCGCTAGTAGACAAATCTTACGTAAGGAAAATTTTTAAATTATTTCAGTAGTCGGTAACTTAAATTACTTTTCTACTAAGATTCTGGATCGATAGTTCAATTGCATCGATAATGTCACACACAGTTTTGTTTGGTTATAAGTTGTTAAAACGAGGCGGAAAGAGTGAAGCTGACATGAGTGTCAGAATCTTTTATTTCAGTTAAAAAATGCTAGTTGATGCACATAGTAAAAATTAAACTAATTGAATTCTATTCAGTTGGAATAGTTTAAATAATTTATTTGGGGTTTGTAAGGTTGAATCTTACCCAGTTGGTTGTAATTTGAAAAATTCAACCTGGTCCGTCAAGTTTAATTAATCCGTTTTTGCCTATTTTGTAATAAATAGTTTGATTCACTTTGCCTGTTCAGTCAGAACAGTTTGATATATTATTAGTAATATTCGAAGCACCTAATATTACTAATTAGCTCCAGTTCGTGTGTAAATGTTGCCAAGTTAGGCATCAGTGGTTAAAATAATTTATTTAATAGTTAATAAATAAATTATTCAACGAATAAGTCAATCAGTTATTTGCATCTTGCCATTACATCCTACTCCCAGTACGCGGTTTGAGGTGGATTCACCAGAACATGTACCAGAGGCCACGTGTTCCAATTCACCAGGAGAAGCAACACCTACTCGAAGTCTTAATTAAGCTATACATAAGTATTGGTGTTGGTTTTATTAGTTTGTACGGCCAGTTCGAGGTATTTATTCTTCGATTTTATAAGTAACCGAGTCTCTGGAGCCAGGCAGAACTCACATTTTGAAACGTACCCTGAATGATTAGAATCTAAGATTTAATTTATTAATTGATAAATTCTCTAAATAAGAAATGACGCATTTCATAGCGTTCCCATTAAATCTATTACGTTTCAATGGCATTTGTTAAAAATTAAAAATATTTTTTAACTTATTGAAAGCCCAAAATTGATGTATATCTTACGTAAGATTTCAGAGGGGGGTGGATGTATCAGTTGAAAATCTTACTAATGCTTATCATGGGGGAGGGGGGTTTTAAAATGCTCCAAATTATGCTTACGTAATTTATGAACAGCCCCTAAATAGTTCAAGTTCTACACCAGTATGCTTTAACATTGCCGAGTTCGAAAGGCCTGGTGCTGTATGAAAATATAGAGGATCTAGATTGTATGTTTTAAAGTAACTACGTCTAAAGTTTTCAAAGACATCAGCCAAGAGAAGGACGTCAGTCTTTAAGTATAAGTATGAGTACTCTCCAAGCGTGTTAATATTGAACTCGTTCCAGACTACTTGCGCAAAAGCATAATCGTTATCAGAAATAGTTGAGTTTGTTAATTTTGAATAAAATAAATCCTGATCAGGTAACTGTGTCTCATCTAGTCTTTCAATACTGTCAATATATTCATATGGGAATACACCCTTACGTATTACTAATTTAAATTTGTCAGGGTCTGGGTAGTGTAGTCGCGTAATCTGTTTATCTTTGTCATCAAGGTATGAAGCTAATTTCTCTAAGCTGGAGGCCATGAATCTAAAAAAGTCAATAAATCTTAAAGAGACTGAAGTATTTTTGACTGATTTTGTAAATAAAATGTAACGCAGCTACGTGACCTTGAACCGGTTCAAACCTGTCTGATGACGTCATCTACTACGCAGTTAGAAAATTCTAGAATGGTATGAGTCATCTGATTCGTAGAAATTCCCCCCACCCCTTTCACAAAACAAGTCTAAACCTGTCTGATGACGTCATCTACTACGCAGTTAGAAAATTCTAGAACACAATGAGTCATCTATTACGCAGTTAGAAAAAGAACAAAGAGAACTACGCAGTTACCGTGACCTTGAACAGGTTCAGACCTGTCAGATGACGTCATCTACTACACAGTTAGAAGTAATGAAAGCTACCACCAGATGGCGTTGCGTGAAATCCTTCTCGCAAGTAGTTGTCATAATTTCATTTTGAATATATAAAACATGAATATATCATACAAATGCGTAATCCTGAACTATTGATCGGTTATGGCTGAGCCGAAGGCAGGTTGATAGTTGAGGATGCTTTTTTCTAACCTTAAAATGTTGAACTCAAATTCAAAATAACGGAAATCAGACTTAAAATGCCGGATTACAGACTTAAAATAGCGAATTACAGACTCAAAATAGCGGATTCCAGACTCAAAATGGCGGATTCCAGACTCAAAATGTCGGCCACCAGATGGCGAATTCAAAATGGCGGATTCACAATTCAAAATTCCGGGAAAATGGCGGATAGTAGAATTAAAAAATGGCCGATTTAAAATTCAAAAATGCGGTAAAATAGCTGATAGTACCATTTAAAAAATGGCGGAAAAATGGCGGATAGTAAGATTTAAGAAATGGCGGCAGAACTCACCACCAGCGCGACCTACGAAAAACCCTCCACCATATCAACGTCGGTAAAACAGGGCGCGCATATCTGTGGATGGTAACTTAGCATGGACACGAACCCACAAATCTGTTTTACCGACTGGGCTTGCATCCCTTTGACACACTATTACTTTTGAACGGTTGAACCGATTTCATCGCGGTTTGTGTCATTCGAAAGGGCATCGCCAAACTTAGATTTTCTGTCAATTTGAACTGATTCGGACCGATAGATTTTGAGAAATTCGGAGAAATCTCAAAAAAAATAGGAAAAAAATTCTTTTAGAAGTGGTTATTTTGGGATAACTTTCAAACGGCTCTACCGATCGATTCCAAAAACTAACTCTCAACCTCAAAAAACCACGTCGATCGCCCCCAATCCGGTCAAAATCGGTTCATTCATTCAAAAGTTATTGCAGTTTGAAAATTCAAAAAATAGTGTTCTATGAAACTTTTATCATACTTTTGAGCTCAACGAGCCCAAAAGCATAGAAAAGGTATCTTTTCGAGCTCGGAGAGCTCAAAACAACACACAGATCGTATTTTTGAGCTCGAAGAGCTCAATAAAAGCGGCCAGGTATTAACGGAATCAGCGGGAAGTAGCAGGGATGGCTTTTAGGGTCAACCGTATTCCTTATTTTGTTTATAAAATTTGATAATATTTATCACTATTCTTGATAGTAAACATTATCATCCTGATGGTAAATATTACCATCCTGATAGTAGCTGTAATCATCTTAATGGATACTGTTATCATCTTGATGGTAACTGTAATCATCTTAATGGTTACTGTTATCATCCTGATTGTAACTGTTACTATAAAAAATGGTAACTGCAATCATAAAAAATTGTCACACTAACGATCTTTACACTGAAAAATTTTTTAATCATCCTAGATGATTGCAGCTACAAATTTAGTATGATAACTCCAATCATTCAATTTTCTCCGTGTAGGCTGTGATACCGTACTTGCCAGGATCACGTGGAATAAAATGCAACAGTCAAAACATGGCTTTGACTGCGTTGAATGCCGTAGCCACAAGGGGTGCCTCGGAGGCTGCCTCCGCTGGTAGTTAAATAATTGCTGGAGTTATCGATCACGAGCTGGTGGTCGGTAATTCCGCAACACATATTAATAACTTGTTATAATCTAAATTTTGTTATTTTAACTTATCATTTGTTATTCCTATGTTAACAAATTCATTTGTTACCACTACATATCTTAAGTTATCTTAACAAAATTTTTTTCTGCGTGACGGGACACTTGGAATTGAATTATTATTATAGTATTCTACAGCGATTTCACTTGAGAAATTAAGATGAATTTCTTATAATTTCAGAAAGCATTCATGCAAAGCAGATCAGTTTCATTAGTGGATATGTACATTGACAATGCAGAACCTAGTGAAAACGTTGGACAAATTCACTTCAGCTTAGAATATGATTATCAAAACACTACTTTGGTTTTACGGATTATACAGGTGCTGATTATTTTTTTGATAGATCCGAATAGTACTGAAGTATTGTATTGTATATTGATTCAAAACTTGACTTGCTTTTTCTATGTAGGGTAAAGATCTTCCTGCCAAAGATTTATCTGGTACATCCGATCCCTACGTTAAAGTAACTTTACTACCTGACAAAAAACACAGACTTGAAACTAAGATCAAGCGAAGAACTTTGAATCCTCGATGGAATGAAACTCTATATTTTGAAGGTACGCAAAAAACGAATAACATTATGCAATTTAGTTCCGTAAAGTGAATGTCATTCCTTATTGAACAATATTTATAATTTACTGGAAAAAAAAAAAAAAGAAAAAAATATTAATCAGATCAAAAATTCTTCACTCAAGAATTTAATGAACTGAAACATTGAATTTAGTGCACGCTACAAGAATGAAATGCTGGGTTATGCTTTACACTGCAATACTGAGTGTGTTAATTTAAGACACATAAATGTATTATTTTCTTGTATTTACTCTTACGACGTTTCGCGGTGTGTTATTTTTTAAAACAGTATATGTGTGTTATTTTGAAACATGTAGATGTGTTACTTCAAAACGCCAGAATGTATTATTTTAATGCACATAGCTGTGTTACTTTAATATATATTGAGACACTGCAAAATGTCCCGACTTTATCAGCCTGGCGAACTACCACCCGAAATTTCCGTTACCGACACTAGCTAAAATAATGTGTAGCCCCAGTGAGGTCACAAGACGACACGAGGAGGGGAAAATCAGCTACGAGCCTAAAACCATGAGCCTTGATCGACACTTCGATCTATCCCCCGGTGTGAACCACCACGCTAGGTATTTCTTAGTCATTTTTACCACTATACTACTATACTACTATTACTACTATTAGGTGATTACTCACCAGAACCTTAAATAATCTAAAAGTTTATTGTCTAAATAATAATCTAAACTAATATTCCTAATTATTTTCTATCTATATTATTAATTTTATATTAGGTGATTATTCACCACGTTTATTATCATTACTGTTTAATCAATCATAGTTTTAAGTATAAGTATTCAGTTTATTAAGTATTTCATTAATTGCGTTACCGAAATATTACAAGTTTATACTAAAAGTGCTTATTTTGTGTAATAAAGTTAAGTTTATTGTTATCACTGCTACATACCATTACTAAACTACCGCCATTCACTTGTTCATTTGCTACGATCGTTTTATTCAACCGAAAGGTGCAATCAAGGACGCAGAGCATTGTAAGTAAATAAAGCAATCATAACTGGCACACGTGAGAACTTTTGCCAGATAGTAAAATTATTAATAAGAATTAATACATATAAATCAGGGAGCGGAAAATCCCCGAACAGCGTATCCCAATTAAACGAAGCTTAAGTGATCATTTACCTATCCGCAAGGACTTGATGACTTAAGTAATTGGATTTTTTTAGATAAATAAAAGTTCAGTGTTTCAATGGCGCTCGAACAGGGACGCTGTTCAAATTATCCTTAAAATTAATTGCTGAATTGACAAAAACTCTCACGTCTTCACGACAATTCATTTAGTTTTAAGTATTATGAATTAAAAACATTTATATTGTACGCATAAATGCTAAAATTATAAAATCTTAATTTTATAATTATAATTATTTAATCTTAATTGCTGTAAAGACATTTATACTGATACTATTTATTTTGTATTGGCTGAGAAGTACTCTCAGTGAAAATCTAGAAAATTACTTTAGTAATAACTTTATCAGTATACAGATCTTTATAAGCCTATTGTCAAGTATATTTTGTCTGCCGGGTCGCAAGCCATAAACACGTTGCACGCTCGAGCTACAAAACAAACAAATCTTTTGTCTGGTCGAGTCGGAAATAAATCTTTGATCTAAAATAAATATTAGAAAGTATTTCATTATCGAAACTAAATCTCTTATTTAATTCTGTTATTTAAAATAAACATTTAGTAAAAATATTTTATTATTAAAATTAAATATCGCCGTTAAAATAATTTATTTTATTTAACTTTGCAGTCAGAATTTCAATAATAATAATAATAATATTGATATTATTACGAGTATCAAACTTAATAATATCAAAGTTAAAATTTTGGGATTAAATTATTAACACCGAGTATTGAAAACTCACTAAATAAATTTGGGATTGTAAAATTAATTTTGAATGCGTCACCGAGAAAATAATCATTAAGAAAATTTGAGATTAAAATCCTGTGTCAGGTGTGTCATTATAAAATAATACTTCGAAAACTTAATCCATCCCGAAAGTAATTAAATAAAATTTAATTCAGAGCTATTTATAATGTTTCCTCACACCCCAGTAAATCAATTCTCTGTACCGATTAGTCATAATGCGGATTTACAAAATCAAAATTTATTAAACTTTAATCCAATTCAAAATTCAAATCCAAGTATACATTTACAATTACAAGACGATTTAATCGTACTAGACAGTCGGTAAGGTGATATACACAATAGTACTGTCAGTAATAGCACTGACCCTACAAATGCCACTGACAATGACGTCAGTAGAGTACTAAACTTTTCTGACCTTGAAAATACCAACAATGCGAGTCAAACCGATGAGGAAGTAATTAGACAATTAAGAGCCGAAGCAGAAGCCTGGAAAACAGCTTGTCAGCAATTGATACCACCTTTTACCAGTACCCTAGCTCGAACGATGTCTAACACGGTAGATAACAATAATACTGCCAATAACACCTACGCATTTCAGCCCCGGGAGTTATTACCAAATTTTAATTTTTCAGCGGCAAACCATTCTGTGTTGCCAGCACCTTGCTTTCCCCATTCGGACATGCCTCCCTACTCTACAGCATCAGCCCCAACGTTTAGTGGGACTGCGCGTTTACCGTACGCGCCGCTGCCGCTTGCCCCACCACTCGTAACACCGGTGCCTCAGCATCTACCAGCTACACATGCACAATCATGCACCACGTTGCCGTATATAACCCAAACTTATACAGCACCACCGATGCCATACTACGTACCAAGTACACACGTACAGTCACACACTACTACACCTCATGTGACACACACCTATACAGCACCGATCGCATCTTTCCCTGTGCCTGAGTCACAGACACAGCCATACACACACACTATCCCAGGCATAGTCCCAAACGCTGCTCATTCTTACATGTACCCGAGTACAGTTGCACCCTTACGGACTAATGACATTTGCCGAACTGCGAAATCATGGAATGTATTTTTTCCCCAGCGCGATTCATCAATTAAATTAGACGCCAAAAAATTTATTAAAATTTTAGAACAACGAATGGTCAGTAATGATATACCTTTAGACAACTTTAAGCCTGTAGTTACTTCAACGTTAACTGGTAATATTTTAGATTGGTATTATGAAAATGAACATTTATTTATCAACTGGTTAGTTTTCAAAACTCACTTTAAAGTATGGCAAACCCACCAATCGGATGAAACTTTATTACAAGAAATTTATTCTTATCGACAAGCCGATGACGAACTTGGAGTCGCGTTTATTAACCGAATGCAATGTGCGTTTGATCAATTAGACGAGCCCATGCCTGAACACCGACAAGTTAGAATTATTATTCAAAAATTTAATTCAAAATTTTTATTTAAATTTGCGGAAGAAAATATTGACACTTATTCAATACTATATAAACGCGTTAGTTCTTGGCAACCAGTAGTAGATTCTTGTCAACGCTTATATAATAACGAAGAAGCGAAATCTAACACGGATTCTGATGATAATTCGAAAACTCAAATAAAATTAAACGCTGTTAGCAAATCGAAATTAAAGAATTCTAATAAGAAGACGATTAAATCGGAAAACGAACAAAAGACCACTCTTTTTGCATTGTCGAATTCAAACCCAGTTAACTCAGGTAACAAAATTCCAAAAAATAACCACTCGGACGTGCTTGTATCCGCAATAACTAATTTCCAAGCCGCGATGCAGGACATGTTTGAAAATTTACAAAAGAAACTTAGCCAAGTATCTTCACAGACTGACTGTGAACGTTGTGGATGCAGTGGACACATTACTGCAGTCTGTTGTTCACGAACTACAGACGAGATACGAAAAAGAGCCGGTTTACGACCCTTTATGAAAAACCCAGATCCCGAAAACCAAGTAGTTACTCCGGTGATTCCCAATACACCAACTAAGCCTAACATATCCGCGATACAAACCCTTACGGCACCTATTTCTTTAACTAGTGCCCCAGTTAGGTCAGTTTCTAACAACTGTGAACTAAATACTTTAGAAAATAGTTCAGAAATCCCTGATATCAACCAAAACGAATTAGATTACGAGTATATGGACTATGAGTCAGACTCTGAGTCAGAAATGCCCAATTCAACACCCAAATTAAAAATCAAATCCGGTAATGAACTTAATGACCTTATGCTTATTCATAGAGCCAGCACACATGATTCAGACAATCTTGAAATATCAAGTCGAATTAAACGACAACCATCATTTCAGATTAGAACTGAGAGTACTTCAAAGTTGTCGTCGTTAATAAGCGTTGAATCAGAAACTTTACCTTCTGATCCCATAATTACTTGTAATTTTAAGAAACAGTCATCTCCATTACCATCTAAATCATTAATACCGACCCCCACAACGACCAACACCGAAGAAGCTTCAGCATCCATCACCCAGCTAAACATTAGCAGGATTTCTAGACCAACAATGGTTCAGCCTGGCATAACATCTACAGCTTTAACGCCTATGACAGCTGTATCAGATCCATCAGACAACTACGTAGCAGCTAAATTTAAAAAGCCCATGCTGCATGACAAAAGCCAGTTGACTTCATTATCTCAACCAAACTTCAGGTGCACTTATGAACGACCTGAATGGATTGAAGATATCTGTAAAGCAATGAAGGAAGTCCATATTAAAATCCAGAAGAATACACAAGACATCCAAGGACTCCAGAATGGCATGAAAAGACTCGTACAAAGCCATTCCTCATTAAAGCATTGCCAACTCACCAACCTGGCCAGTTCTGTACGTGAAGTAGAACGAGATGTCGTTGCCGTCAAACGACGACTTAATTTAATCGCACCCAAAATGCAGAAACTGGGAAAATACCAAGATAAATACAAGGAGCCTGTCCAATTAGAAGCCGATTCACCTCCATTGACTTCCAAAGAGAAGCAAGACACTACTATTTATAAAATTGGAACTAAAAATTGTCAGTTAGTTCAAAAACTAACTTTGAAAAAAATTAAATTCTCTCAGTCGAAAATTTTATCT